GACAAAGCAAGTGGCACGCCTAACATCCAATTCACGTGGTAAAGGTCGGCTGAGGATTTTTGAGGAAACAATCCTTTGTTGGCACGCCTGGTGGGACATCCAGTAGGATGTATCAGTTACAATTCACAAATCCTCTATTCATACATTCAGAGGCGTCTGGAGCCATGCCACCGAGAAAGAGCAAAGATAAAGAGGTTCAGCCAGCCTAGGCTGAACATGCAGATGACAGTCCAGTTTACTCGGAGGGTGAGAATGATCCAGTTGTTCCTCCTTTCTTATCACCCTTCATGGAGCGATCCTATGGCAATCCAATTTTCAAAGAAAGGGATGCAGACCGCAGAGATGACTTTGCTGAATCAAGTAATGTGTTTAGAGGTATGACTGAGCGTCTGGATTTAGCATTCAAAGAAAAGAACCAGGCTATGCGGAGGTTTGTTGAGAGTCAAGCAGAATTTTCCAGACGCCAGGAAGAGACAATTAGACAATGTATAGAAGAAATGAGATGGGTCTTTGAAAAAGGCATTAGGGTGATGCGAGAAACTGGGGAAGAAAGTCGCAGACCACTGCAGGCTGTTTCAGAACAAGTGGTTGAGCAAGTGCGACAGCCCAGACCTGAGATCCCTCCTCCAGTCCCAGAGATGCCCAGACAGATTCAGGAAGCCCCAATCCCAGCACTCGGGGGGCAAGGGAATCAGCCTTATCCCAATATTCAACAGCAGCATTTTGTCATTGGTGAAGGGCAAAGACAACACCAATTGATGGAGGCTGCTACTCCTGTTGCAGACCATGGCCATCAACCTCAGCATAAGTATATTCTGCCAGCTAGGAAGGGAAATGTGGGTCCTCGTCATCAACCTTGTCCAAGGGACTTTTTCCAGCCACAAGTTCCTCCAGCCCAGCCAGTACGGCGTGGTCTGCAGAATCAACCAGCTCAATTCTTCAATAAAGACCATGGGCCAGCCTTGAGACCATTGAAAAAGATTGATAAGGACACATTGAGATTTCTAGACAAAGCGAAGGAGACCATGGGAGTGGATGCAGATCCTTTTCCAGCTGTGTCTGTCGGCGTGAATGTTGCAGACCTCAGGAGTGTTGCCAGAAATCGCAGTCTGCCTTATGCTCAAAGGAACCTTGCTGCAGAAGACTTAAGGTGGGTTCTTGAGGCGCAGAGATCCAGACAGAGCAGGAGCGTCAGGTCAGACCAGCAGAGGCTCGGGGGGCAAGAAAGGATCACTGTGACCAGGAACTTCAGTCCAGAAGGTGCCAGACGTTATTCAACTGGTACTAGATCTCCAAGGATGGTCAAACCGCCACTCAGGTCACCTTCCAGACGGTGGGAGAAAATTAGTCATCCCAAGTTTCCAGCCAAGAATCCCAGAACCTTGAGGCGCAGACTGCAGCGCAAGAGAGCTGAAGAGCGAAAAAGACATCAGAAGCAGGTGGAGGCTGAGGGAAGTTCATCTCGCAGACCACGCCAACCTACCAAAAGGAATATGGTCTGGGTGAGAAAAGAGAAAAAAGAGGCTGTAACCCAGACTCTACAGAAGGAGGATGACCAATCTTCAGC